CACAGCAAGCCACATCAGGAAAGGCTGAAGGACCTGGGACTCTTCAGCCTAAAAAAGAGAAAGCCGAGAGGGGACTTGGTAGCAGCTTACTGCTACGTCAGGGGAGTATATCAGGGGCTCAGTGAACAACTGTTCACCAGGGTACCCTTGGGGAAAACAAGGAGTAATGGCCACAAACTTCTGGAAGACCATTTCAGGCTCAACATTAGGAAAAACTTCTTCACAGTCAGGGTGTCCAGACAGTGGAATAAGCTCCCTCCAGAGGTGCTGCAATCACCTACCCTGGAAATCTTCAAGAGGAGACTGGACAGTCATCTTGCTGTCATTTTTCCTACAGGGTGCAGGGGGCTGGACCCAGTGATCTTCCAGTCCCTTGCAGCCTTACAATCTATGACTAAGTTGCAGATGACACAGAAGTAGGAAGGATTGCAAGCACACTGGAGGATGACAGTGCAATTTACAGGATCTTGACAGTTTGGAAAGCTGGGCTGGAGCTAACAGGATGAAATTCAAGGCTGATAAATGCAGCATGTTACAGCTCATGAAGAATAATAAAAAATAAATACAAAATGGGTGGCACCTGGCTGGATGGCAAGACTACAGAAAAGGGTCTGGGAGCCTTAGTAGTCTGGGAATCTACATTGTCACAAAAGAACAACAAAAGAAGCATTAGGTACAAGACACGAAAGGTGATATTGCCTTTCTATTCAGAGCTAGTTAGGCCTCATCTACTCAGTACTGGTTAGGCCTCATCTAGATAACTGTGTGCAGTTTTGGGGTTCACATTTCAAAAAGGACAGAAGGAAGTTAGAGAGGGTCCCATAGGTAGGTGACAAAAAATGATAGAAAGGCTTGCAAGGCAAGTTGAATGAGAAAAGGTAGAAGGAAATAGGCATTTTTAGCTTGCAGAAAAGGAGCCTAGGAGTGGACATGACAGCAGTCTTCAAATATCCAAAGAGCTTTCCTAAATAGGGAAAACACCTTTTCTTTCTTGCTGCAGAGAGCAAAATGCGGACCAATGACTTGGAGCTGCAGCAAAATAGGTTTAGATTGGGTATTGGGAAAAACTTCTTCACTGTTAGAACAGTGAGGCAGTGGAATAGACTGCCTAGGGAAGTTGTGGACTGTCCACCACTGGATGTGTTCAAGAAGAGGTTAGATAAGCACTCGTATGGGTAGATTTGGGAGTACCTATGACTATATTCCACTACATGCTTCTGGGCTTTGCTAGTGGCCACATGGGGCCAGGAAGGATTTTTTTTCTCCTCCTGCCACCATAAGTGAGGGGTGGGGGTTGGGTTGCCTTCCTCAAGAACCATTGTCTGTTGGCTAGAGCCAAGACTGGGGATTTTGACTGGGGTGAACCAATGCTTCTGCTGGGACTTAAAGTTTCTGGCTAGAGGGTCTTACCACTCCAACTGCCATACTTGGGGTCAGGAAGGATTTTTTCCCCGTGTCAGACTGGTATGGAGGCTTTGCCTTCCTCTGTAGTAGAGATGTGGCCTTCTTGGATGTCACAAACACTTTTTTAACAACCTCTGAAGCAGCAAAATATTGGCCATTGTGGTCTCCTCTGCTTTCCTTGTAGCAAATTAGGGTGCTTATGTCTTGTGGCTGTATCAGGATTGACTGGGTAGTTTTGCTGTTAGGTTACACAATGGATTTACATAGGATCATTTAGTTAGGGATCGTATATAAGGGGGCTGGCCTAGATGACCTCTGGAAGTCCCTTTCAGCCGCTCTGCTTTTCTATGATTTTATGAGATGTAGCAAAACTGTTCCAATTTTAACCCAGCTTCACCTGCATTTAAAGCTGGGGCAGTTTAGCTCAATTGTATCACTAAAAGCTCATGCACACGTAACACCTGTTGCATGCTCCTGAGCATCATTACCTGCTCCTTTTACAAGACAGTCCAAGTGTATTTTTCTTCATGCCCATGTGTCCATTTTGAGCATAACATAATAGGGCACCCACCTCAGTTGAGGTCCCTGAATAATATTTAAATAAATAAATACTATATAATAATTAGTCAAGAGAATGAGATACTATTCCTGGATCTGTCACTGACTAAATGAACTGGCCTCTAACAAATAACTTAATCTCTCTGAGTACTTCAGTGTTCCCATATGGGAACAAGTTTATTTACCCACTTTTAAAATCACTTCACATCCTCAGATAAAGGTACTTTAAATCAAGTATTATTAAAAATGTAACTTATTTTTGAAGTTTAGTCTTTGGTTCTTAGCATATTGAAGGCTACTAATAGTAAAATAAAGAATGTAACATTTGATACAAAAAAAAAAAAATGATTCACAGATACGGTATGTTAATTATTGAATTCTAACATGTTACAAACTAGTATTTAAAAAAAACCAAAACTTACAGCCAGAATAATTTTTGCCAATTTCAGGCACAGTGGGTCTGAACCAATGTCAACCAGCTTATATAATGTCTTCAGAAGCACAGTTCTTCTTTTAAATCTCTTTCCTAGCATATGTCCTTCTTCCAAGGCTTGATAGAGACTGGTACAGGCAAGGCAGAGCTTTTCTATATTGTCTTCTATTTGGGTGGAGAAAGTAAAAGTTAACCATTATAGACAAAACACAGATAAATGTTTGCATAATGGCACAAAAAATAAATCTTCCAATAAATCTCTTAGGATTCTGGCCTGTTAATAAAAGTATTGACAGCATTTGCTGGACCACAAAACATATTTTGATGTTGTTGTTGGTTTAAAAACAGTAGCTCCTGTTAAGCCAAGTGATTCGTAGAGCCAACAATGACATCCATTTACCTCGTCTTATTTGAAGATAAGACGATAATGAAACATATTTTTACTTTTAATAATTAGACTAACCAGATACCAGGTATGAACCTTGGAGAATCTCGATGGATTCACTGAAGAGCTCTGCCAAATGTTACAGGCAAAAACTAAATAAATAAATAAATAAAAAAAGGACAGCTGAGGAACATTATTCTAGCTACAAATCCACCCCAAAGGACATCCTATACCAGCTGCTGTTAGGGGTTCAAGTCTGAATTTATAGGCGAGATCCTGAACACACAGAAGAGGCTCAAAATGTACTCAAATAGAGCTTTGTTTCTAAAATAACAACAAAGAAGAAAGCCTGCAAACTACCAAAAAAATCTACACCCTCAAAAGAACACAAATACACATTGATAAAAAAGAATAAAAGGCCACATCTATTCTCTAAAAATTAAATATTTTGTGTCTGAATTACTAGCTTTCTTTTGTTTTGCTTTTTTGCTTGCAGGCTACATCAGTAAGGTACATAAAGTACACTATAAGCTTACCTGAGATACTGCCATTATGAGTATCTACTGCATTTCTCAACACAGACATACTACTGTAATACCAATGTGGACAGCAGGTAGCTCAAGCAAATCTATATTACTAGAGAATTATAAAGAATTTTAAAGAAATGTCATGCTATATTTGAGGCTTGCCAAACTATCCTATGTAAACATACTGGACGGGTAGGTGATTTTCAATATTTTTAAAAATAAAGGGGTGATTTGTATATTTTATTTGCTAAATAAGTTTAAAAATCCCCATGAGCCACACAAACTAAGATCTTAATTTTTGTTTGTTTTTTATTACAATGAATTTAGTATTTGGGAGAGGTGGTTGACTAGCAAAGAAAATACATGAGAACTTTACTTAGCCACCAGACTTAATAAAAAATTATGATTAAAAATAAATAAAACCACTGATTATGTTTAGATTATAATAATTTTAATAAGCCTAAGAGGAAATTTGAATTTAATATAAAATATGTTTAGGTTTAACATTTCTTAAAACATTTAATTGAAAAGATACATGCTGAAATTGTAAGACTATTAAAAATCGGGTTACAGGTTGCATGCTTTTTCTATATAAAGAATGAATCAGAGGGAAAACAGGTACCTTCTGAGGTCAAATAATACACACTAGGCTTTAAACTATATTAAAGGACTAATGTTGCAGGCAGATGTACTATTGGGTGCAAGAGATGGGAAAGTCATTACAGGTACTGTAGCTCACCCTCTGATTACAGGAAACACCATTATGTACCTCGCTGGCATCATACGCTAAGCCCGCCTGTGTGGTCTCATACTTCTATTTTATAGCTTCTCCCTATCTGAACTGTGCTAAATTCTGTTTGAAAATTTCTGTAGAAGTTTATGCATCTAAAACATTTAAAATCTGTTCTGTTTAATAAAAATAATGTTATATGCTGTTTTGTGCATGCAGTTAAATTCCAGTTACTATCCTGGTGTCAAGCAAACACATTAATCATGAATAGAAATGAACTGTCTGGAAATAAGCAATATCTTGTCATAACCCAAAGGTATGATTTTGTGTGTGCTTCGGCACTAGAATTATTCCTGCTAAATTGCAGCTTCGTTGCACGGTGGAGTTTTCTGCTGCAGAGGAGAACCCCAGTGCAAGGGAGAAGTTCCCACCAATTTGTAGCTTCCTTGGCAGGGTGCACTGCTCAAGTTGCAAGAGAAATGCATGGTGCAAAGGATTTCCCGCCACCCGCATGCAAATTTGTTCTTCGCTATTGGCTAGTTCTAAATTATTCCCACGTGGCGGCTAACGATTGACCTGCTAGCCGTATAAGAGGCTTGAGCGGTTTCCGCCCAAGCCGAAGAGGACTCCACATCCATCTCGTGGGGACTCTGGGTACACGGCAGGGAAATAAAGACCCCTGTGTGAGATTCAGAGGAGCTTGGCAACCTGATCCACCGCCCACCTCTTCCTGTCTTCTAGCGACAAATTTTATGACGTATCTACGAGTTTCCGATTTTGGTGGCGCGCTTACCCGGGGCATCCGGAGCTCTGTTTCCGTGGAGCCTAGCAAACTCCACGTGACCGTTCGTGTTGTCTTTGTCTGTAACTGCAACTCAAGCAAGTTTTCCAGCCTGCACCGCAACCATCTCCGGTGTAAGTAAACAATCTTTAAATCTACCGCTACGAGTCCGTGCCTAATTCTAGCGTGTCACCCATTCTCTCTGACCCCGCGTGCCCGGGCTGCTGGCCACAGCCCGCGCAGAGCATGAAAAAGGACCCAGCTCGCGCCCGGCCCGCACATATCTCATTTAGTATTTTTTAATATATTAACATTTAAAATTAGTATGAATCTGCCAATATTAAGCAATATATGTAATTATTTAAATAAATGATAGTTACAGTGTACCCTCCTGCACATGAAAAAGATGCATGAAATCTAGGAAATGTACCAAATCTCTGTTTAACTGTCATCAGGATGCTTTAATAATTTAACCAAACAATGAAAATACACCTTTTTTAAAGAAAGTAACTGAAGTACAGTCAAAGAAGTCAATTAAAAATCAATTAATTAAATTGAGGCTTTCCACTTTCTGATTTAAATCAATACACACTTTTGCCCTCAAAACGGGACCCTCTCTTGCAGTATCAGTGTCGCATCAATACATTTCAACTTTAGTCTAGGTAAGTAACAACATAAGATTATCTCTTTGGTCTCCCTCTTGAGAGAATCAGTAACAATTGTGGCAACAATATCTATCCTGTGGGTAGCTGTCCATTAAGAATTGGACAAAAACCATGAATTCATTTCATGTAAGTGGAAGACTTCTGCAATTTTTCCATTGCAAACTTTTACAGTTCATATAGTGACTTGTCTACAAGTGAAAAAAACATGACCTACTTGCTGTGAAAATGTCAAAGCTAAAAAGTTTTTCTACATACAATTTTATAGTTAATGTAAAGATTTAAGGAAGTTTTAGAACTTCTTACTTAGTGTGCATTTTACACACTCCCCAGTCAGTTACTTTGGGTTATAACTGTAAAACATTTATGTTCCTTTATGTAAGATGACCACTGGCATCAGTTCTTTATAACCTCTGTGCCTTTTGGTAGGTGATGGGAAATTTCACAGAGCCAGCCTCACTTCAGGTAGATCCTGGGAAGAACAGGCAAAACTACAATGACTACATACAAGATAGAACAAAGACTTGCACTTGTGACATGAGATGAAGCAAGGCCATCAACCTATTCCCACTTCTGCCAGGGGAGCAGGAGTGTCACAGAAGTGAAAATGGAAGTTATAGCTCAACAATAGCTACATTTCACTGCATGTCAAGAAGCTCAGAGAAAAAAAAAAATCCATAAAAAGTTCTTTTGCTTACCCCCCAACAACTGTTTTTTGTCCAAATGCCTATAGTTGCCTTTAGTGAGTAAAGCAGTATTTGTTTTGATCATGTAACAATCATATGAAAACAGAATGCCAATCACAGGAACTCGGCTGATAACTTCAGAATTAAAATCAGATTTCTTTCAAACAGAAACTGTTTTCTAGAAATATATATTCTGAAAAAGAGCCTGTTTATTAATATACTAGCAAAGTGCCCATCAAGAATGATGGGCGGGCAACAGAGACAGAGTGCCACCATGCACTGCCACCACTCTGTATCCGGCCACATGCAACCCCCCCACTGCTCCGTGTCCGGCCCCATTCACCCCCCCCACACCTGACACACACCCACCCACACAGCAGCCATATGCTACAGCCAGTGGGCGCTGCCCACGCCCCCCAGCCCTGTCCTCATGGCATCCTGAGGCCACGCGCCACGCCCCTCCCCCAGTGCCAGGAGTACCTGCCAGTTGTGGGCGGCAGGGCACACACGGTGTGTGGCTGCAGGGTGCTGGGTGGGGAAAGAGCACATGAGGTGCAGTCAGCGCCCATTGCCTTTACCACGTGGGGCAAGGCACACCCCCCATGCCTGCTTCCTGCACGGCACTCTGCAGTCACATGCCATGCCCCCCCCTCTGCTGTGAGCTACAGAAGGGGCATGGTGCAGGGGGGCAGGTGCACAGCTGCAGGCAGCCCTGAGGAAAGTGGGCAGAGGGATGTAGGCAGTGCCCACTGGCTGCAGCACATGGCCGCAGGGCAGGTGTTGCCCCTCATGGCCGCTCCCCACGCGGCACCCGGCAGCCATGCAACCCGTGCCTGTGTTTTGGTGCACCTGGCATGTCGGGGGGTGGCAAGTGTGGCATGCAATGTGGGGTGTGGGGTGTGACCCCGCATGGCTGGTCCCCACAGTGGGGAGAACAGCCTGGCCCCGCCTGCCTCAGCCCTCACCTCCGCCTGTCTGTCCTAAGGCTCTAGGCCGCACATATGGACAGACAGACAGAAACGATAAGGCTTTTATTATATTAGAATTAACATGCAAAACCAAACACATTTCTTCAATAAATTTGTGTAAGATTAGCTGAAAGAATTTAAAGTACATGGCTGCCTACAACAGTAAACACTGTAGCATTACCAACAGATCCACTCATGGAATTAAAATGATAGAATTTCAATATTGGCGTACAAATAAATACTGTAATTGTGCAGTGAAGAGCCCAAATAAAGGAAGTGCATCATGCAGCTGCAGAAGGGGTTGATTCCATTATTCTAGCATTAATCAACATGAATAGTCAAGAAACAGCAAGACTGTTATTATCAATGATTTGTAGCAATGTATTCAATTGACTGGTGGGAACAGACTGAAGAATAATTTTTAAAAAAGGAAAAGTTAAGGTATTACGTTTAAAATGTTGAAGTTAAAAATTAAGAAAATACAAAATGTGTCCTTGTCCTTGCTCTACCACGTGAGACTATAGGTTCCACTCCATCTTTAAAAAATCTTTAGCTTGTATTGCAATGTCATCCTACCCTCTGCATCTTTCTAATTAACTGATTTAAATGAAGTCCCTCTAATTCCAGCAAGGAGAGAAGGAATTAGGCTGCAGTTTTCAAGCTTTCTAACCAATGTTTCATATTAATCAGCTGATGAAGTGTGCAGTGGTCCTAGAATGATTCCTGCACGTATGAAACAATTAAGCATTTTGTGCTTCATTTTCCATTCCCTCGTTCTTCATGTGGTCATTAGCATCTGTGCAAAGTTTGTGAAAAAAATTATCCTGATTCTCCAGCATTTTATATCCAATAATGTACAGTAACCTGCCTGTGTAGGATAACAAGGGTTTCTAAATATACCTCAAAGGAAACCATTGTATTTAATAAAAATCCATTAAGGAAGGAAACTAAGATTTTTAAGAGCTTGTCTTCCATCTACAAAAGTGACAAAATTCAAGGTTAAGCCTTCCAAACCCATTTTCAACTACTATTTTGTACCAACATTACTGATCATTACAAAGCTTTCCAAGACACCCAAAATTTACAACTATGAGTCATACTCCAGTGGAAGCTTTAATTCCGATTTGCTCCCTTATAAATTTAATTCAGGCCCTTAACCCTTTGTCTGTTCTCTATAAACCAGGGGTGTCAAACATACAGCACTCAGGCAGGATCCCATCCACAGCGAAGATACATCTGGCCCACCAGTCTACTGGCCACTGATGCTCCCCACTGCCACTGATGCTTGCCCCCTGGTTCTGGCCTGTAAGGAGCCTCGCAGTCCAGTTCCAGCCTAGGCCATGGACTATGGCTATGTGTAAAAGAATGAGCCTGTTGCAGCACATTTCTCTTCAGATAATCATAGACAATAGTCACACAGAGGAACCCCCATTTGGGTTTCTTGGAGTTAGACCTAGGGCAGTTCTGAGACAAATCTTTTTTATGTTGATAAGTTACTGAACATATGAACACCTTTAGGAATAACTTACCTAATGACTGTTAACTCATAAGAATAAGTGCCAGTAGTACTCTTCTGTTCTAACCTCTATTTCAGAAATATTGTAAAATATGTACTCACTATTATTGAATTATCCAAGAAGCCTTACTTACCACTCTCTAATTCACACAAAATTGGTAAAATCTTTACATTCCAGTAGTTTTCTTCCTCTTCCGATTCATTTACTTTTGAGTCATCCTTCAAACCTTCAAAGTACATTTAAAAGAATACATTAGGAAGACGATTTAACTGCAGCATGAATATAAAGTCAGAAATATTTTATTAAATCAGGTTAACTATGATAGTGCTCCATTTCACTAGCTTCTGAAAAGTCCACTTCATCCCAAATATGTATTTTTATTTAAAACTTTCTCAAAATTAATTAATTTTGATATCTTTCTAAAAGGTATAACTTTAATTCCAACGCATGCTAATGATTAAGTTTAAGACCTGATACAGGAGGTACTGGTTGAAATTCTATTGCATGTATTATGCAAATTAAGATAGATGGTCATAATTGGTTCTTCTGGCCTTAAAATATATATATCTATTCATTCAATTTCTAAAAAAATGTAGTATGTAAGTAGCTTATTATATGAATATAGCCTCAGGTCTTCTTTGAGTAGAAAGATATATTTCTGAAGCAGGACTGAAAAAAGAAAAAATTTTCATCCTAACTCAAAAATTTCACTCTTCAGATTGCTGCACAAAATCTGGCAGAATAATTTTGATTAGGAATAAACACAACACACACACACACACACACACACACACACACACACACACACACACACAAAAAGGGTTTACATAGCCTTAACTGTACTCATCTGATCAGATCACTCAATAGAGGGGACAGTAGTTTTAGGCTTGAGTGGGTAGTCAATATTCTGGGTCTTGTGGGTTGTTTCTGCTGGTGGACAAATCGTTAGGTATTTCTTTGATGGAATTCTGCTTATCTAAAAAGAATGCACACAAACGCCATGAACAGGGGTTATGTTCCTTCCAGGAGAATCACTGCTCTCCTAGTAGAAAATGCACGCATAGATTAATTCACTTTCTCCTGGAGGAAGCATGCCTCCTCCAGGAGAAAAAAATTTCCAGGTTCACACATGGAATATCTCTTAAGTGAGAGATTCTCTCCTGCCAGAACAAATGGCTGTACTGCTCAACTTCTCCATGACTGGGAGGAATGTCACCAGTTTGGAGAAGCATGGGAAGTCTTTCCCTGCCACTCCACTCCCCCTAGGAATGGGAGGACTGGAAAAGTCACTGCTTCCTACACCTTCCCCAAACTGGCATTACCCCAGCCTGAGGACAATGTTTAGAGCAGGGGAGACAGGATGGCTGCAGAATGAACACCTATACTGCTCCCTTTCCTGAAAATATTTCTAGCAGTGGAAATGAAAGCCTGTTCATACCCAGTCATGGTTTCCAGAACACAATAGGAATCAAACTGTAATAAGCTTCCTCTCTCACAGATAGGTCTCTTTCCAACAAAGACGCTGCTCAAAATGTTCCCTTTCACTTTCTATCAGTGCCCTGTTTTCAGTCCTTCCATGCTACCTGCCTGTCCTTCTAAGCAAAAATAGACTTACCTTTCAACCCTAGCAAATATTTAAAAACATACATCACACTGTTTGACTAGTGATCCATGAACACCACTGTTCTTTTATGCTATCCCTTCCCTAAATTGTCAATCTCTGTCTTGCAGTCTTCAGATTCTTTACCTGCACTAATTTTTGCAAGGATCTCCTGAAAATACTAATTCCTCTAATAATTACAAAGCTTATTTTAATCTCAAAACCCAGTGTGTTCATTACCAATTGGTAGCCATTTGATATTGTAGCAATATTGTTCTTTAACTTAAATAGCTGTTCTCCCTTCCTGATAAATTTACCGTGCAAATATTTATACAACATAATCATATCTACTCTCATCCTTCATTTTGCTAAACTAAACAAACCAACCTTTTATTCTCATCTCCATTTCCTTACCTAACCTAGTAACCTTTCCTTACATATGTTCCAGTTGAATCTTTCTCCAAAAGTTACCAAAACTGTCTACCGATACTTGCTCTTGTCTCTGCTAAGTAAGCCCCACTTAATACATGGTACAACTGCATTAACCTTGTTATGGCTGCTTCATGCTGATGATGTATGGTTGTCCTACAATCAACCTGTATACCTGCGTCCTTCTCTTCCTTTTTTGCCTCCAGTCCACGACTGTACCCTTTTACAGCCAAAGTTCTAGTACTTAGCCCCTAAGTGCATGACTTTGTACTTTACAGTATTTAACTTCATACTATTTCTACTGCTTCACTCCAGAAGGTATTCTAATTCTTTCTGTGAAATAATCGAATCTCCTCCACACCAGAAATATCCCTCATCTTTGTGTTATCTGCAAATTGCTTAAGTATTCACTAGCTCACGCACTAATGTCACTAATGAAAATGACAAGCAGGATGGGTCCCAAGACGTCTTTGAGGAACACCGCCATTTTGAAGCATGGGGGCATGGGAACGCTGACATGCGAGAAGCTCCACATGCTTTAATTAGAGCAGCGCTCAGAGCCGCTCTAAATAAAGTCCATGTCCCCCCTTTCCCGCCGAGCACATGTATAGATGCCTATCCTTATTAACAGCAAACAACTTCCTAATACTATATGGTAAGAGCATAATAAACAGGAAAACAAGATAATGCGATTGGGGCACTGGCCTCTGCAGCTAAGAGTGCAGAACTTACACAGACACACTCAATACACAATACCTCTCCCCCCTAAATAATGTCCAGTAGTCCTGTAAACATTTGGACTGGATGGTGACCTGTTTTGCGTGGCCCTCTTCAGAAGTAACAGAATTTCCACTAGCAACAGAAGTAGGTTGCTTTGGCTTTACTAAAGTAGCTTCAGCAACTGGAAGTGTTGATGGGTCTGAAACAGCAGCTGCTGCACTTGTCAGAATTGTTTCCACTAGTGCTACAATGCCTTCTGGTGTTGCAGAGGTCACACATTGTCCGAGACTTGACCCTGCATGTGGTCAACATGACTGCAAAGTGTCTTTCCATCTGATGTCTGGGTCTTAAATGATACTGGCCCTGTAGCCCCAAGGACTGATGCAGGCATCCACTGTGGCCAAGTTGCATACTTTTGGATGTATACAGGTTCATCTGATTCAAAGGTCCTTACAGGTGAAACATCAGGGTTTCTTGGAGAACTGGATTTCTTGCCTTATCTGGTATTCAGCTACCACATCTTGGTGGAGCCAATACAAGCAAGTTTTCAGCTGGCGATAGTAGTTCCACTTCTGCAGGGCCATGACGTGTAGTAGCACATGGAGTTACAACCTATTGTGTAAGAAATTAGCTAATTGTTGGTTCCAATCACCATCAACAATTTACTTCAAGGCATCATAGTAGTTTGGACCATCTGTTTGGTTTGGCCATTTGCTGACAGGTGGAATGGTGCAGATATTGTGTGACAGAGCAATGGCATCTACCTGGAGAGGAGGATTCTAGCATCAGAACTTCAGAGAGAGAAGGAACAGTGAATTCAGAACACGATAATGGTACACAACTCAATGCATCTTCATTAGCTATTGACACTCCACGGCAACGTTGAAATTCACAGTAACTTGCATTTAAAATAAGGACCAACGAGGCATATGTGGTGAAATGATTCTTGGTCCATTCTTGGTGAATAACCCGAGCAACAGTTTATGATCTGCCACAGTTGTGAATCTCTGGCCATATACAGTCACGGGATTTCTTAATCCCAGCTATGACTATAAGAGCTTCTCTATGTATTTGGACATAATTCCTCTCAGTTTTATTCATAGTCATGAAAGGTAGGCAATGGGAGCTTTACATCCATTTTTCTGCAGGTGGTTAAGGAAAGCTCCCACTCCATATGGTGAAATACTGCAAGTAAGCAGAAGTGTTTTCTCCATGTCATAAAGAACTAGCATACTGTCAGATGACAGCAATTGCTTCACATCATTGAAAGCCTGGTTATGTAGTTTAATCCATTTCCATGCAGCATCTTTATTAAAATAATGCAAAAGCTCAGCAACTGCAGCCTTGTTTTTTAGGAAAGAATGGTAGAAATTAAGTAGACTCAGGAACACTTGCAGTTTTGGCTTATTCTTAGGTGTTGGAGCCTTATGAATAGCTTCTACCTTTGCATCCATTGGATGAATTCTGGTTACATCAACTTGGAACCCCAGGAACTCCACACTGGTTACTCCAAAAGCACATTTGCTCTTTCTTGAGTTTCAGAGCAGCATTGGAGATACAGTATAACACTTCTCACAGTCGGAAAACTAATTCCGACATGGACCCTGCTCCAGTGAGGACGTCATCAAAATATGGCATTATCCCCTTATGACCTTCAAATTGGTTATCCATAACCTTTGGAAAAACTCCTGGTGCAATGTTTATTCCAAATTGTAAGCACTTAGCTCAAAAGGCTCCCTTATGTGTAATGATTTTCTGAGCATCAGTGGTTTGATCATCCATAGGGAGTTGTTGATATGTTTGGGCCAAATCTAATTTAGGAAAACCTTCCCTCTAGCAAAAGTAGTAAGGAGGTGGTTTATTGCTGAAATCTGGTATGGGTATTTCTGTAGTGCCTTTTTAATAGTACACTTGTAGTCAGCACATAATCAAATATCAATGTTTGGCTTCATGGTCGGTACAGTGTGAGAAACCCATGTTGGATTTAAGTTTGTGGAATAAGATACCTTAGAAGCAAGTCAATCAATCTTTGTGTCAAAGTTTTGGATGAAGGGTGAAGGCAACATGTCAAACTGGAGCCAGACTCAGATCCAATGTAAATGACACAGGCTGGCCCTCATAGGGAAGGACCACTGGAATTCACATCAAAAGTGTACTGTACGGCAGCTCCTTTAATCTTGCAGTTTCTCCCGCATGTCCCCCTGCTGCTGATTGATGGAAGGGCTCTGCAGCTCATCCCTAATAGGTGGGGAGGTGAAAACCACGGTTTTAAACATGCTATGTTTTTTGCCTCCTGCTGCCGATTGGTGGAGGGACCCCTGTGGCCCCACCATTGTGCAGTTGACCATATAGGCACTGCTGACTGGATGCTTAGATTTCCCTTGAATGGAGTGAAGCAGCTTTATATGCAAGGAATTCTTATAGAGCCATGGCAAACATTAAGTTATTCTTTGCAAGAAGTCTGCATTGTAGGGCTTTGTCTCAAACCCCATATGCAAGATGATCTCTAAGAGACCCAAGGCTGATGTCAAAATTACAGTTCTCAGACAATTAACACAAGACTGCTATCTATGCAGCAATTCCTTCCTCTGGCAACTGATTTTGTTAGTTGAAATGAAACTGGTGCATGGTTTCAGATAGGAGTGCAAAGTGATTTTTTAGGGGTGTAGGTTGTAGCCGTGTTGGTCTAAGAACATAGGCAGACAAGGTTCTTTGGGTGAATCTGATATCTTTTATTAAACCAACTTAAGTAGTTGGAAAACTATTTTTAAGCAAGCTTTCAGGTTCAAAAAACCCTTTGCCAGGCTAAGGAAGTTTCAGCAGTTGGTGTGACTAATCACTAAAAGTGATTTTTTAGCAATTTGAGGATCTTGTGGTATGACTTGTTACAGGGTTTGGCTAGGGATACAAGGGAATGAGTAATCTGAAAAGTCTTTGAGCCAATGAAGCTTAGCAGCACTGCAAAATTTTGGTTATCATTAGTAATTTTATTAGCTTATTAGTGGAGCAGTTATTTTCTAATGGTATAGTTACTTTCTGGCCTGCTGAAAAACTGAGGGAGAGATTTTCAAAATCACCTAAGGGACTTAGAAATACAAATCTCATTGACTGTAATTTTAAATCATGCTCCCAAATCCCTTCAGGCACTTGTGAGGAACTCACTCCTACCTCCCTCAGTAGTATTTTTTAAGGCAATGATCAGTTTGCTTTCACAACAATAGGAAAGGTTCACAGTGAATGTTTATTAAACAGAAATAGGCAATTTGGGGAAGACAAAATGTTCATATGTGTTCTTACTATTCAGTTTCAAGATATTTAGCATATTCTTTTAGTTAATGGTATATTTTAAAATTCTGAGAATTTTCAAACAAAGTATTTTGTCTCCTTGTAGTAATAATTATAAAATATTCTTAAATTTGATCCATTCTCTGGAGGAATACGACCAAATAGATTCCATACCAGGTCAGATCACTGCTAGTATACGAGAATCCTTAGCCGGCACAGTACCTGCAATCAATGGGAACTTTTCTTTTGACAATGGGTTTTGGATCAGTTGCATAGAGATGGTTTCTATTGCTCCCTTCTAATGGCCCTTGAATAGGGAATGTTCAGAGAGAATGGAAAAGGATGTAGCTTGAATGCTGATGTACACTTTTGCTATTCTCACCTGGTGGACAGTCTCTTAGAGCTGGCATCAAACAGATCTGAAAAATCAGCTCACTCCCAGCAACCTCCCTACACTCTGATGGTCAGAAACTGTATGCAACAAGGAGTGTGGGTCATTGTCTCTTGCAAATCTTCTGGAATATTACTGAACAGTGTTCAAAGATTATTTAAGCTATGTTATAAACCCATTTATTTTATCTCTAAGCTTTATTTAATCACTGAATCTATCTTATTATAATAACATTTACATAAGATTACTTTCAGTATTCATTTTTTTAAAATAAATGACTGGGAACAAAATTCATACATGACTGCTGAATAACAAGAAAAGAATTGTGAACGCTAGAGTATGTATACCTTTCATTAAGACAGTAGTACACAGATTAGAAACACTGGTTAATGACATTAGGTGCAAACTTACATAAGAGTTTGTCCAGCTCCTTCACTATATAAGTCTTAGCATAGCAATTATTTTACACACACAATGTGTCCTCTAATGAAAACATAAAAATTAAGATCTCTTCCTCAGGACAGTCTTTTGACCCATAAGTCACCATGTGTGTTAAGAATTATTTGGAGGGGTGAAATAAGGATAAAAGTTCATCTCTGATATACTTTGAAAAAACCAGTTTTTTCTGGACTTTGTAAACTGTGACTTTCTTTAAGATATACCCATTGAAAAATCTATTCAGAATATCTATTTCAAGGGATTATATAAAATAGTTGCTGCTCCCTGGGAAAAAGACTGGACAGTAAAAGTCTTGTAGGATTTGTATTAATTCCTTTGCAGACCTTTTACATTTCCTAAATGAAATGACCAGATAGTTTTGCTTGGGTTCCTACCAATCAACAGTTTATTTAATAAAATTCTCCACCAGAATTTGCAACAAAGAGAAAGAAGTCTCTGCTCTGGATAATGTAAGGGAGCCCAGATGAAATGTTAAAAGTTCATATTTCTGCTTCCTGCCACAGCATCTGCATGCAAATAAAATTGCCTGCTTTCCCTTTACGATTCTCACATATCATGCCTTAAGTTCATGCTGAGGCCTTCTAGTAACCATGCGCACTCATACCTTTATCCACCTGAGAAATCTCAACGAACAGGATTACTCATTTGTGTAGTTTTTTGCCAAAGTTCATACAAAACCAAAATATACTGTCAACCTAAAACTGGACTATTCAGCTTTCATTAGAGTAAAGAAAAAGATTTTTAAAATCACTCAGGTACATCAGAATAATACACCAATTGTGATAGCCACAACTTTTCTTTTTTTGTTTCCAAGATAATTCTTGTAACCTCGAACACGCAGCTTGTAATATGTAATATTAAATCCCAGAACAAAATTAGAAGCATCTAATGTTGTGATGCTGAAGAATAGTGACAATAAAGCTTTGCACTTTGCAAACTTGGGAAGTTTTGTTTTGTTTTTTTTAAGAAACTTGGTGAAAATGAGTAGCTGAAGTCAAAATACTGTAGTTGATCCTATATTTTTCAACTGTGCAAATTATGATTCAACAGGAAACAGATACTTAAAGCAAAAAGTTCAGCATGCTGAAGATTCTGCTGTCTCAACTGGTTCATAGGCCTCAACCACAGCTTTGCATTCTGGTCACAAAAAATTATATTATTAATAGGCCTATGCTTATTGGTTGCTGTTTTTAGCATATAAATACCAGAGCCTTAGCAACACCAAGCTTTAAAAAGCTGAGTCCTACCTTATTATCTTTTAGCCTCTTTACAGAATACCCACAGGCCACAGATATACCAAACTTAAGATAGTGTAGCTCTTCTCTTAAAAACTGTGGTTAAAAGTGTACAGATAAAATCATACTTGAAAAATGTTGATATCTCATTTGAATATTTTTGCACATAAATTGAAGTAAATGTATTTCTGAATTTATACTGGTATTCCACAACATACAGCTATTTAAAGATCAACCACGTATTTCACCTAACATAGATAAAAAATGGTTTCTTTTGTAAAGATAAAGGTCATTACATGCTTAATTTACATTACAAATAAAAAAGCCCTAGTAATCCACACAGCCTCTTTAATGGTGCAAATTAAGACACCTGTGCATATATAAAACATGAACCTAGAAAGCATTGACCATCTCCTATAAAACCTTGAGCGCTGTCAAGTACATTTGAAGTCAACAAAAATTGTAGGTGCCGATTACCTCACAGGTGGTACCTACAGTTTTCCATGATCAAACTTATAATCAATTAAAAATATATATAACTTTAGCAGCAAAGCAGCAGCTGTAGGATTATCAATCAGATTCTTAACTATAATAAGAATCTGTTATATAAACGGAATGAACCCACAACGGGAAAAAGCTGTATCCTTTGCATAGGTCCATTAACCTCAGTAGGAGTATATCAATTTCAAACAACTGAGGCTCTGTCCTAGGTATTAAATCTTTACATAGACTGGTTTGGTCTTTCTCAAGACCAAACAGAAAAATTAGCATTTGTAAATGACAAAGTGTTAGGAAGTCCTATTCAATGTCTCTGAAAATTAAGTTACTAAATCTCCAATATTGTCCTTTTAGATCCACAATGTTTTTAACAATTGAAAAAACCCACTATCCCACTGAGAGCAAAGAAAAGAAAACCTGGGGAAAAACTTAAGTTGGACGATTTATTTGTTCACTCTTCAAGTCAGCATATACAAAAAAGAAAAATGAGTAGGTGAAAGATTTTAAAATGGCATATGTTGTACCTTCTTGGTTTCCTGATTTACCCCAGTCAGTGTTGCTTGGACACGATGAAGCCCTGCCATGTTTTTTAATCTGATCACTGAAAGAAACAGAGACAAAAAATCTACTATAGGATAAATAACCAAAATGCTTCCTTCTCCAAACACCGTTAATATGAGATCAGTATGCTCTCCAATTAATAACTCAGTATCTTTTCATGATTTCGTAAGTAATTATTTTGTCCCTACATACAACATGCTACTTACATTTAGATATCACTTCCTTTAGTATTTAAAAAGAACCTTATGAAACAAAGACACATTTATACCACAAGAGGTCACTATTATGGAATGCAAAAACATGCATTTTTCTTTGAACAACAAGTAAAACTGAGAAGTGAAAGCAACAATAGCATGAACATTTTTCATTTGCATTCTGTGAAGCAAGATTTTTGTAAACTAAATCTGGACTCATTTTAAACTTTGCAAATTAAGTTTTTTACAGAGACTTACTATAATATATTCAATAAGAGTAATGAGTGTTTATAAAAATAATTCACTTAACAGATTTTATTAATACTATTCTTTAGAGACAGAAAAAAGACAATCGACTAACATTATTCAATGAAAAAAGTTATAAATTATAAATCTTCGCGAGAGCCAGCGCTCACTGCATAATAATTGTTCTTTTTTGCATCTACTAATCTGTACTACCTACCCCATTGCTTTGTAAAGCAATTTTATGGCTAATACTATGTTTTCATCTGAAAAGATTCTTGTTTATGTAATCAACTTTTGGGAAAAAGGAAACTAATACATGGGCATACTTGATTTCACCACTGTTGATAAAACTATTGTGTTTGCCTTATCTATCTACATACCCAGCACTGATATTTGGGAACAGACCAGTAGCAAGTACCCTTTAAAATTAAGATGCTAAGATCTTCCTTCTTTAAACTTTGCCAGAAAGGTTTTATAAGCAGGGATCCAGGTTTTCCATTTCCCAAGGAAAAACAGAGAAAACTACAGATTTCCCTTTTTTTAATCAGAGAAAACACAGATTTCTCCTTTTAGCAGAGAAACCTGTGGATTTCCTGCTTTTGCAAACAGCTTTGCAGACTGGTTGAGCTCCAGCCTGCAAAAGCTGTTTGTAAACAGGGCAGGAAACCCTAGCCCTGCCCAGAGGGGGAGGGGGAGGGGAGGGCCTGAGACTCTCAGTCAGTCACAGCTCCGCTTGGCTCAGTTCAGTCTCACTCTTCTCCTGAGACTGAGGTAAGTGGGGCTTGCAGGGGGCTGGGGGCCCCTCTGGCAGGGCTGGGGGGTTGCAGTTCATGGCTGTGGGGAGCAAGAAGCCGGCCCCACCCACACCTGAGCAGGCAGCAGCAGTGGGGGAACCAGTTCCATGCTGCTTCTGCTGCAGCTACCTGCTATTGGGGGAAGGGAGCTACAGACTTGGGGCCAGTGCTGGAGGGCAAGGCAAGGACTGTGGGTGGGGGGCAAGAGGCACAAGGGGGGGGGGGGCTAGCGCAGTGAAAGGCACCAGCAGGGTTGGGGGGGTGCTGCAGGGGGCTTTTAATTTTAATAATGAATTTTGGGGGTTTTGTCAGAGACTTTGTGATTTTTCGTAAGAGAATTTGTGATTTTTTTATCAGAGAAAACCAGGATCCCATAAGCAAGGTAGTGTAGCTCAATGTTTTCTGTTTTCAGCATACATTTTACTTAACACTTACCTTTTATAGCTCTCCTAGCAATACAAATCATTCTCTTAAATTTGCTTCTTACAGATAAGGTTTTACTAGTAAGACTACTGGACATATCTTATTTGTTAATGTGAGAAACACATGCTCTTAAGAAACACTTGGATGCCCATCTTGCTGGGATCATTTGACCCCTGATGACTACCTGCCCTTTGGGCAGGGGGCTGGACCTGATGATCTTGCTAGATCCCTTCCAGCCCTGATGTCTATGAAATCTATAAAATTTATGAATGCTCTAAAGTCTTAAGGTATAAAGTTAAATACTTGTTTAAAGCTAGGGACAGAATTTACACAGAAACCAGTATAAGTGAAACCAGTTCAAACCTGTAATATAAAAGAAGTTCAGTGCATCTAAACTGCTTCCAAACTGGTTGAAATTGGTTTAAGATGGATGGATGTAGTATCAGACTCAAGGCAAGGTTCTTTGGGTAGATGTGATATCCTCTGTTAGACCAACTAAACAGCTGGAAAAAAACACAGCTACAACCAACAACCCTGTATCAGACTTAACCGATTTAGGATAAATCAGCTTACTGAAAGCATCCCAGGATGCTCTGCACCTTCTGTGAAAACCTCCCCTCACAGGGTGGGCAGGCTAGGCTTGGTCCAAACTGTCTGCTCCAGGACCCACCAGCTTCTGGCCTGGACCCATGCAGGCAGATGGCTGCATTTATGGAGTCAAAAGTGAATGTGTGTTCACTTTCGTACTGGTTCAATTTATGCAGCTTAGACTTGCCTGTGAAGATTGAACTGATTCAGCCTCAGGCTTTTTGACCGTCTGTATTTAGCCTAAATAATTTGCTGAATTGGGGCCTAAATCCTGTCTGCCAGTCCAGACAGTAGACATAGGTCCTCCTAACAACAAATGGAGACAGAATAGAAGACAAAGCTCTTATAAAGTCACCCCCTAGAAAGAAAGTTTGCTAACTGACTGTGATCACTGATCAGTTAAACATTTCCAGAGCAATTACATTGTAAGGAAGCACCGTATTACCTATAGTTAGCCAGAGCTTTCTGCTTAAAGGATACCTCCTATAAGAATTCTAAAATCCACATTCTTACTTAGATTGTCTAGTAATTTGCTGTGCCTCATGGTGGTTTAGGTTAGGGTTGGAGTGTTTTATACTAGAGACATGATTTTCAACCTTTTTTTATTTATGGACTGCTAAAACATTTTGAATGAAGGTATAGACCCGTTTGAATTGTAAGTGTGGGTATTCACATACTTTTGATCGATCATAGTCATATTTTGTGGACCCCTTAGACCAGTAGTTATCAACCGGTAGATCGCGATTGACTGGTTGATCACGGAGCCTCTGGCAGTCGATCTCAGCCTGGGGGAGCACTTGTCTGGGAAAACCAGAATGTATGATAACCCTACATGTCCTCTTTTTTGGCCCTGTCCTCATGTCCAGGCAGGTTTCTGAAATGCTAGCAAATGTCTAGGTTTTTGCTTTGCCTCTGCTTTCCCAAGCTGGCTGCTTAGAGCTGGGAGCAGTGGTCAAGGTGACTGGCTGTTGGGGGTCATGTGATCTGCAAGCAGGCCCCAGCAAACTGCTCTCAGGTTAGACACAGATTGTCTGTCTGTCTGCACGCGTGTGCGTGCATGTGTGCACGCGTGTGCCTGCATGTGTGCACACAACGCATGAACAGCAGGGCTGGGGTGGGGAAAGGCTGCGGGTCAGGAGTGAGGGGCACCGGCAGTGCTGGGGGTGGGGGGAAGTGAGGATCAGAGGGAGGGCACAGACATATCACTGCCCCCTCAGTCACGTACCCCTTCTCCCCTCACTGGCACATCCCCCCCGCCCACAGGTGTCCTCTTTTTTTGGTACTAGAAATATGGTAACCCTATAAAGCGGGGCCCTGGCCAGGCTGGATGGTGAGACAATTGGAGCGCAGGTGGCTTGTCCAGGGGCGCAGGGGGGTTCCCACTGTTGCACACACCCTGGCAGAGGCCTGGGGGCACATGCCCCCCTGATCTCTGTGCAGGGTAGAGGTAGCTGCTGCTGCACTAGTCTTTGAACCCTGAGCCCCGCTGCAGCTGCCCCGAGAGTGGTAGGACACAACATGTGTCCCGCTGCCAGGCAGGCAGGGGGCGCAGTTCACATAGATCCTGGGTTGCACTTTAATTCTAAAAGTGATCTTGTGCTTAGAAAGGTTGCAGACCACTGCCTTAAACATAATCTGTGGACCCCACAAGTTGAAAATTGATTTACTGGAGGTATGCTTTTCTATTACAAAGAGTATATTCCCAAAACCGTAGAGTGCTAGGGGTTTTTGTGCATAATGCAGATAGTCTCTAAACTGTGCAAATGGTTTAGCCAGTGTATGGCACTGACTACCCCTTTAGGGAACCCATATTAATTGACTGTCTCTAACCTCTGTTCAATTGTTTTAGCCAGTGTATGACACTGACTGCCCCTTTAGGGAAATCATATTCATGCCAGAATAGCCTGAGTAGTATAGAATGGTATGTCAGACACCCAGCAAATGCACCTAGAACTATGTTGCAAAACTAGGCAATAGGGTTTTCAGGGGAGCCCACTGTGAGGTTACATAGAGGGCTTAATGGGCTATGCTGCAGTTTCTGAACCTAACCAGCATCCATGCAGTCTACCTTCAAACACTACCCTTGGCAGAAATTCAAGAACAATTTGTAGCCATGATGTTACTATCTATCTCAGTTAAAAGGGATGTGCCCTGATATTTCAAACAGCTAACAGGGGCTCTAACTTAATTTTCTGAAAGATAATAAATTACACATACTATGCACAGATGGGTATGTTGTGTGACAATTTTGAGAAATCTATATGGTTTAGAATATTTTTTCTGAGAGAATACAATCTCTTTTTATGTATCTTTACACATCTGCCAACTCGTTTTTGCTTTCTCTTGTCCTTTCACTTCCACATTGGGCTGAAGCAACAAGTGGTAATATGCCATGTGTCAGTGGGCAAGCAATGGCTGCATTAGCTCCTGCCACGGCTGCTCACCCGGCCACCCCCCCTCCCCCCCACTACTGCCACACCCTAATCCCTGCTTTGATGCTGTATCTGGGTCCAGACCAGGGGGCAGCAGGGTGAGTTTGTCACCTATTTACTGTAGCTATTTTGAGATGGAGCGAACAAAACAGACTCTGTAGTACGTGGAAGATCTCTTATACAGCAAGATGGAAATCTCTGGTCTGCAAAACATCCCCTTTCTGCATGTAGCTGCTGAAAAGCCAGTTAAAAAGACATACACATCTGAAGTCTTAAAAATAATCCATGCCCAAAGTCAGAAAGACTTGCTGTCCAGAAAAATGGAGAGGATGACAGGCTAGGATCCAGAATGACTTAGGAGAA